GCCCCTGGGACAGATACATGCAATGAATGTTTGTGTTGCTGCAGAGAGTCTCCCCCTTCTTTTTGGGTGGGCTGGAGGGGGACAGAAATTCCGACTTGGGGTCTGTTTCAGCCTCCTTGTGCAGGGCTTTGGGTGAAGGCTGGAGGGAAGTGCTGCTGGTGGCAAAGAGCCAGAGGACCTTGTTCCAGTGGGACTACTTCATGGCCTGGAACTGGCTAACCATCTCAGCCCACTGAGCCTCCAGGCACCGGTACCTGGCTTTGTACTCCCGCAGGTCTTCCCTCTGCTTGGAAAGCCTATGCTCGTAGTCTTCAGTGAGGTGCTTCTACTGAGCCTCCTTCTCGGTCAGATCCAATTTGAAATGAGCTGTTTTGCCAACTTTCTCATGGTGGCTGCTTAGCTCCAACAACTGCTTCCTGTTGGGGTCCTAAGGAGCCTGGGCGGGCAGACGAGGAGGGGCAGGGAGGGGAGGGGCGAGTAGAGGCTAGCGAGGTGACATGAGTGACATTGACTTGGCCACGCCCACCCAGTCACATGACAACCTAGCCACACCCACCCAGCCGGTCATTAGACAGATCATATTACTGGTCCACAAGATTTAAAATTATGAATTTAGTGGTCCCTGCAGTCCGAAAGGTTGGTGACCCCTAGACTAGATAACATTGTCTAGCACTGATGATGTTACCTCAAGAAAACAATCAGGCTCAGAGAGTACCAAGGACCCCTCAAAGTTGTTTTCTTCTCGCTCCTTGGTTAATATTAAAAATATAAAATATGAACATGGGTAAAAGTGAAAACAAGGAAACTAAGAATAAACTAAAACAGGCTGGAGATTGTAGCAAGGATCTTGAATGACAGTTGTGAAACTATATTAAAAAATTGACAATCACACTGGAACATGAAGGCAGCACAAATCAGTAAAGTTGCAAAAGAAAAAACAAAAATAGGCAGACACATTGAGAATAAGGAAGCTGAGGAAAATGGTCACAGTTACTGTAGTTAATATTTGTAATATTTTATAATATTTGTACTGATGGAATTACAATAGTGTTTTCATTAATAAATCAGTAGTTATTGATAAATATAAAATATAAGGCAGTTTTTTAAAATTTATTTTTGTTCTTTCCTTTCTTGGCTCACATTTTTACCTTGTTTGAGGTTGTCTCATTTGTGTGTTTTTTAAAGTTTAAATACTATTTTGCTAATTGGTTTTTCATACAATTAATGAAAAAAATCAAGAATCGTTATCTTTAAAAATGATAATTGAAAAACACGGTCAAAGTCAATCACAACATACAAAAAAAAAAAAAATAAGTAAAGAGGCACAAACATAAACCAAATAAAGCTATATACAAGGTCAGGGCAATAATACAATTTACGCAATATACAGTCAAACTGTGAACAAGATAAGCCCATCCGTTAATTAAAGATGGAAAGATACAGGTAGAAGAAGTATGCAATTCTAAGTACAGTGAAAAGAGATCGGTAAACAGTTATAAGAATTTAAACTGGCTTGGGTGTGGAATTTGTTATGATAAACCACTGTGCCCTTGACAAGTAAATAGACACTCCTTCTTAAGTTCCTTGTTATTCTATCAAATATTAAGGGGAATCCCCAGTGGCAGTTTTTTCCACCAGCAGGTAACACTTATAGGTAGGGGAACTAAACTGTGGAAATCCTAAAATTGCTTTTTATAATTTGTTCAGTTTTACATGTAAGGCTAGAAGAGTTGTGGGTGCTCCATGAAAAGACTGGATAACCATTTGTCTGAGATGGTAGACTTTTGTCTTGGCAGGTGATCGGACTAGATGAGGGGTCTCCAACCTTGGCAACTTTAAGCCTGGCGGACTTCAACTCCCAGAATTCCCCAGCCAGCTTTGCTGGAGTTGAAGTCCGCCAGGCTTAAAGTTGCCAAGGTTGGAGACCCCTGGACTAGAAGATCTTCAAGGTAGCCCTTTGAGTCTACGATTCTAAAACAGGTAAGCATGCTTTGAGTCCCTAAACTCAACTTCAGACTGTTCCTATATAATGCGTTCTCACTTCCCCATGTATTCTCAAGAGCTGTGATGTCAACTGAAAAGCCTTTGCCGAAGGCAAGGTCACGGATGAATGCAGAAGAGAAAGAAGTGGCTGCATTGATTTTTCAAGTCCCAAAATGTTGCAATGGCTGGGTTAAGCAATTGCTGGATTACAGCTGGATTGCACCAAAGAAATGCCCAGAGGTCTATCTGGACAAATATCTAACCTTATTATAGACTGTTCTGTGATGGTTTATTAATAAATTATTTTGTTAAATTCTTTAACGTATTAATGCATCAATAAAAGAATTTATAAAACCATCGATTTTGCTTTCCCCCCCTTCCATGTGAACTGTCCTTCAGTTCAGTTCAGTTTTCTACTTTTGCACAAAGCTTTCTTCCCCATTTCTCTGTGCATAGATACTTTGTGGAAAACACATACTTTGTACACATAGACACCCACCCACACAATTCCTCTAATATATTCATGGACATTATTTTTACTGAAATGTACTTTTGCATGCAGGTTTTGACTGGAGAATTGCATCACAACATTTGGAGGAATGTTGAAAGATGGCCAGCTTCCATAAATCCGCTTACGCACGGATCTGAGCATGCAAAATTTACTTGGCTACTATTAAAAAGTGAGAGTGCCTAATAAAAGGTAGACATGTGTCTATTAGTCTTTTCCATTTTTCCCTTCCAATTTTTCCAGGTAAAAAGCTGAAAAGAACATGATTTCTAACTCAGGCACAACGTATGGCTTTTTCTGAAGCTTTTAGAAATCACAAAAGACTTTCAAAACATCATGGTACCACTCAATCAGTTTGGAGCAGTTCTGTAGTCTTGAGAAGTCCTGCAATTGGACCAAATTGGTCTGCTCTGGTCTGAGACTTAGCCAAAACACGTGCCAAAATCTATTATAAATGTCTCTTTTCTCCAGTATGTTATCTGAAAGTAGAATCTACCATTTTGGTTCTTACCGATAAAAATAAATCTCATTTTAAATCTCTATTGCATCCTGCTAGATTAGTTAAATGTAAAGACTCCAATAATATTCAGGGCAGGGTTATGAATTAATCAAACTAGACCTTCCTGGTTGAAACCGAACAAGTTTTCATTGGACCATAGTGGCTTTCCAGTAGGAGTATGCAGTAATGTTCATTATACCTGAAAACTGAGGATAACTTCCCACTTCCCTTCTAATGTTCAGATGAAAATCCTAAAATGTCTCTCAAGTACCACTGAGGTGCCATCTATTCCTACCTTGATGGTCCAGTTGTTTCAGAATCTCATCCTACTTTTCTGCCTCCTTATCAGCTTTTAGAACAAGGGTGTCTAACCTTGGCAACTTTAAGACTGTGGACTTCAGCTCCCAGAATGGAGCTATTTGTGGGGGTATTCTAGGAGCTGAAGTCCACAAGTCCTAAAGTTGCCAAGGTTGGACCCCCCCCTCCTTAGAGAATAGCTTTAGAACACCAGACTGAATTCCAGAATTAGTTCCAGAACAACTAGACACAAGAACAGTTTTTTCCTGAATGCCATCACTCTGCTAAACAAATAATTCCCTCAACACTGTCAAACTATTTAACTAAGTCTGCACTACTATTAATCTTCTCATCGTTCCTACCCATCTCCTTTCACTAATGACTGTATGACTGTAACCTTGTTGCTTGTATCCTTACAGTTTGACTTTTTCCTAATATGATTCGATTGCTTATTTGTATCCTATGACTATCATTAAGTGTTGTACCTTATGATTCTTGACGAATGTATCTTTTCTTTTTATGTACACTGAGAGCATATGCACCAAGGACAAATTCCTTATGTGTCCAATCACACTTGACCAATAAAGAATTCTATTCCATTCCATTCTATTCTATTCAGAAATAAATATTTCTGGATAAATATTTTGCAGTGCACCTTCAATTATTCCTTCCTCTTTTCACCCAGTAAATCAACAAATGCTTTGTAGAAAGAGTGAATGGATCCACATAGGCAGAATGCCAAAGTGCCCAACCTCTGTTTAAAACAGTCAAACAGGTAAGGCTATAAGTTAAAGGTAGGCAAAAAACAAACCGGTAGCAAGTTTTTGTCTTCCTTATTCATGAGAACATATGAATGGAGGGTTGCTGGTCAGCCTCCAGGATCCATGCCCTCTCAGATAGGAAGAGGACAAGCACCAACTCTCATTGAATCATCCATTTGGCAAGCAAATCTTTTGGTATCCCCTGCCCCCCACCCTCATAAGGGCACAGTAGCTTAATGCCATGAAAAATATTATAAGGATGGGATTCCTAATATTAACCAGATTGAGTTGAATCAAGCCATAAGGCACCGATAATGGGGTGATATATGATTCATAACTTGTGTATTTGAAGACAGAGGAATCTCTCTCTCTCTCTCTTTCATTCAGTAAAGGAATAGTGATAATAGCAGTCACAAAAAGAATTGCGCAAGCCTCATCAGCTTATGCATGCAAAGCCAAGCATTCACATGCTCCAAAGTAAGTGCCTTCAGGTGCTTAAATTGTTCTGGAGATTCTCCAGACGGAGAGTCTAAGACACACTTGTAGTTGGACTAGAAGACAAACAAGCATCTCTCGTCTTAATGAGAAGATATCAGTTCCCGATTCTAAAACTACTAGTTTTTGGTTTTTTGGGGGGGTTGGGGGGAGGATAACCCATCAATGAAAGAGAGGAATTCAGCTCCTAGCTTTGCACCTTTCCTGTGCCAAGGAGATCCCCATTTTTTTTTCTGCTTAAGTCTGCCTCGTTCATTGCCCTACTTGATGGTCATCTCAACCATCGCTGGGCAGAAGCATGGACCAAATAGAACGGATTCTACTTTGGCACAGAAAAAATGTCAGTGAGGAAACATAACCCACCCAACACATTCTCTCCCCGACGGTAAAGTTTTTTTCCAAAGATTGCAACTTAACTAAAGCCAGGAACGCTTCTGATTTCAGCACAATGACTTACTTGCAAGGAAGGTCTCTGGACAGTTGTCCCTTGAAGCTTCTCGTTCCCTTCCAAGCTGAGCAGGTGATCTTCCACCTGCAGATACAAAGCGATACCGTGGGAAAAATGACTTCAGTTCCAGGGGGATGGAGAAAAAATAAAAACTAGAAAGAAGGAAATCTGCCTTTCCGGGTTGATGAGAAAGACATAAAGCAAAAATTAGCTGGCCATCAAAAACAAGCTGCTATTTCCTCAGTCCCAGTAGGAGAGAATATTCTGAGCAGAGCCAGTTAGCAGATGCAGCCAGCTCCTTTTAAAAAGAAAAGGCAGACAAGCCCCTCCTTGGCTAGGGAGGGACTAAGTCCTTTCAAAAAAAGATAACTTGGTCCGTACAGTAGTAAGAACGGGTTGCTTCATTCAGCCGCACTTTCTCCTTTATGTTTCAACATGTTTTAGGATCAATGTAGCGTGCCTGAGTTTCTTCATATAATCTACCTGTCTTCACTTGTTGGCTGCCTAATTATATTAGGGCTGTTGTTGTAAGAGTTTGGAAATCTGGCCAAAAGGAAAGCCACATTTTTTTCCTGTCTTGTCTGAGCTGCTCGATTCATATGTAATTGTGTGGTACAGTGGTTAAAGAGCTGAACAAAGGAACGGGGAGACTTACTCTAGTCTAGTCTCCCCATGGGGGACGGGATGGGATGGGACTTTGGGCCAGTCCCTCCCTCTCAGCCCAAACTATATCTCCACAAGGTTGTAGACAAAAACAGGAGAAGGAACTGCAACCTACGCCACTTTGAATTCCTGAACAAAAAGCAAAATATAAATCTCCTGTCCAGGAGTAAAAAAATATGCTTAGCCGCTTCGTGACTCCGTGTGTTTTGTGCATTCTGCCAATTGGACTGATTCAGCAAAACATGATTCAGTTAAACATAGATTTAATCAGTTGCATGAATCCAGCTAGAAAATTGTAATACTTTACAAGCAAGAGCTCAGAAACCCTCCGCATTCTTGAATATATAAAAGAAAACTGGATGTATCGGATCCTATCCAGGGGTGAAATCCAAAATTTTTCCCTACTGGTTCTGTGGGCATGGCTTGGTGGGTGTGTTAGGGGAAGGATATTGCAACATTTCCATTCCCACCCCACTCTGGGGCCAGCCAGAGGTGGTATTTGCCGGTTCTCTGAACTACTCAAAATTTCCGCTACTGGTTCTCCAGAACCTGTTAGAACCTGCTGGATTTCACCCCTGATCCTACCCTTCCTAATGGATATTTTCAGGGAAGGTAAGTGATACCATCCATGTCATGACATCATCACGTGAATGATGTAAAATGTGTTGTTTTGCATTTAGAATGTATTCAAAATCATCCTTCTGACAACAATGATGCATCAGATGCTGGCATCCATCACTTCATCCTTTTCCTCCTTATCCTAGAATTCCTGTAGAGGGAGAAAGAACAGAGAGGAACAGTATAAAGGGGTGTAAAAGATGGATCTATATAAGCCCACTGGCTTAAAAGTCCCTAAATCCTAGTATCACCAATAAGCCATATAACAAATATAGATTCAGACAGAAAATCTAATGTATAATTAGGTCTAGCTGGACTTTCTGGTGTCTACCCATCCATTAGAAATACTCTGATCTGAAATGAGCATTCTCTTTGCATAGCAGTGCTAACAATATTCCAATATTTGAGGGGCTGCCCCAAAGAAGAAGGGGTCTCCAAAGCACCTTGAAGGCAGGACAAGAAACACTGGATGGAAACTAATCAAGGAGAGAAGCAACCTAGAACAAAGGAGAAATTTCCTGGCAGTGAGAACAATTGATCAGTGGAACAACTTGCCTCCAGAAGTTGTGGGTGCTCCAACACTGGAAGTTTTTAAAGAAGAGATTGGACAACCATTTGTCTGAAATGGTAGAGGTTTTCCTGTTTGTGCAGGGGGATGGACTAGAAGACCTCCAAGGTCCCTTCTGACTCTGCTATTCTGTCATATTGCCAGACCATCACGGGGCCTCTAGAAATCTGAGACAATGAACTGTATGTAGCTCAATTTGTGCTATATATAATTCTAGAGGAAAGCTGAGTTGTTTTGCAGCACTTCCTCAACAGCTAAAGGGTGGGGCGGCTTCTCATTGGTGGAAACTGCTATTTCATCCCCCACCTCTTCCTTTGCCTTTTCAAAACATCAGGCATCATGGCATCTTGGTTTCTTGCTTTTTCAAAGAATGTCTGCCTTGTTTTCCCCTGTTCTAGCACGACAAGGAAAAAAGTGAGAAGGGGATCTGGCTGCACCCCAGTTTTGGAACTGTCCCCCTGGGCAGTAGAGCAGAAGTCCTCTCCAGGAAGTGGACAAAGCCAGAAGCTTTGCAAGTGAGGTCTTTGGTCCCTGTGTACGGGAAGTGGATTGGACTTTCAGGTTCCTCTTCCTCCTACCTCCTGGCACTGATGATGATGATACCTAGTTTGGTAATGAAATAATAGAATAGAATAGAGTAGAGTAGAGTAGAGTAGAGTAGAGTAGAGTAGAGTAGAGTAGAGTAGAATAGAGTAGAATAGAATAGAATAGAATAGAATAGAATAGAATAGAATAGAATAGAATAGAATAGAATAGAATAGAATAGAATAGAATTCTTTATTGGCCAAGTGTGATTGGACACACAAGGAATTTGTCTTTGGTGTATATGCTCTCAGTGTACATAAAAGAAAAGATACATTCGTCAAGAATCATAAGGTACAACACTTAACGATAGTCATAGGGTACAAATAAGCAATCAAATCATACTAGGAAACATCAAATCATACTATGAATCTTAAGGATACCAGCAACAAGATTACAGTCATACAGTCATAAATAGGAGGAGATGGGTGATAGGAACAATGAGAAGATTAATAATAGTGCAGACTTAGTAAATAGTTTGACAGTGTTGAGGGAATTATTTGTTTAGCAGAGTGATGGCATTCGGGAAAAAACTGTTCTTGTATCTAGTTGTTCTGATGTGCAGTGCTCTATAGTGTCGTTTTGAGGGTAGGAGTTGAAACAGCTTATGTCTAAGATGTGAGGTGTCTGTAAATATTTTCACAGCCCCCTTTCTGACACGTGCAGCATAGAGGTCCTCAATGCCTATAAGAAAACAACCAAGGTCAGAGAATACCAAAGATTCCCCCCTCCTCCTCCTCCCCCTCCTCCAGTGGTGGGATTCAATTTTTTTTTACTACCGGTTCTATGGGCATGGCTTGGTGGGTGAGGCAAGGGAAGGTTATTGCAAAATCCCCATTTCCTCCCGATCAGCTGGGACTTGGGAGGCAGAGAATAGATGGGGGCGGGGCCAGTCAGAGGTGGTATTTACCGGTTCTCCGAACTACTCAAAATTTCTGCTACCGGTTCTCCAGAATACCACCTCTGCCCTCCTCCCCCTCCCCCTCCTTCCTTTGGCAAGCAAATGTGACTTAAACTTGTCAACATTTATGGATTATTCCCTGGGATAACTGCTTTCTTACTCTTGTTAGCACTGATCCAAGAATAATTTTGTAAACCTGCCTGAAATCTCACACTATTGGCTCATCTCATAAAATGTCAACTGCACACTTCAGAGAGTTGTTAATTTCTGAAATGATTTACTTGTTTATATATTCTATCGCTTATGCTTGACTGCTTGAATAGATTCCAAGCAACCTCCAATAAACCTTCCACAGAAAATAACCATCAAAGCCAAAAGCAGAAACAGAAGTTTTAAAAAACCACTTAAAATATAACTTTATTATTTAAAAATTAACTACATCAGCCCATGACACATAGGCAAATGGCAGATTTGGGATAAAGGCAGATTGTTGTATTTTTCACAAAAAAACCAAACCAAAACAACACAACACCCTAAGAAGTTTGATATGGGCTGCTAGATCTCAAGGGGGAAACTATTTTACAATACACAATAGAAATCTAAGTAGATTCAAGCAGGAATGGCTCCCTTACATAAGACATATTCTACAGCAAGGCGAGCTAACACATTTAGATTGTGGATTTTGAAGAAAAGAGGGAAGTTGGTCACAGAATGACTCAAATAAATATAAGCAATAAAGTTGAAAGCCTAAGTAGTAGCTATTTAGGAGAAAAATAATGCAAGGAAGGAGAAGAGTGTGGTACTATGTATTTTTCCCTTGTGCTGTATCTTCCTTGTTCCTTGCTTCTCTTTTTGGATCTTTCATATTTGTACAATGTTTAGGCAATAAGGAAGTTAAAATTAACCCATTTCACACAACTGAAGCACCTGCAGAAAAGATCTACTCCCTGGATCTTGAGGAGGCAGGGACCCGACATCTCCCAGTCCTGGTTTAATTGCAAAAGATGGACAGACTCTATTTGGAGAAGACAGTCCAGAAGAAAATCTGGGTCAAAGCCATGTAAGACTTCCTAAATAATAGCTAGCACTTTGAATTCTGCTGGGAAATATATAGCCAGCTAATGCAGTGCCCAGAATGCATTGTAAAACTGAAGCAACAGTTGTATCTTACCCATTACCAAGCCAGCAGTTGCATTCTGCACTAAGGGAAGTTTTTTTGAATGATTATGAAAGGCAGCTTCAAGAACATATTGCAATAGCCTAACCCCCCACCCCACCCCCAATGGAGAATTGGATTGAAAAAATGATGGAACTGGCAGAGATGACAAAGGTGACTCCATGAATTAGGGACAAATGTAAATAGTTTTGCAGTTATCTGGAAACCATTTCTGGACTTTTTGCGTGAAAGAGAGAGAAAAAAGAAACGTTGGGTTTTGCCAATTAAGTGGGTTACTGTTATAGAAATGGCTGGTGGATATTGGCCAGTGGCATAACTATAAAAAGTTGACGTTATAACTGCTATGTATTTGCGACACCAAAAATGTCAGAAGTCTCTTTTTGTTTCTTTCTTATTTCTTCTTCCCCCTTCCCTCCTCTATTCACTCTGTCCCCTTTTCTTTCCCGCTTGTCCATTATCTTTATTGCTATTTTATATTTTAAAAATATTTAAACACGCACACACACTGCAATAGGCCAGTCTGAAAACTAGAACAACAAACTTTGTTGTTGTTGTTAGTTGCGAAGTCATGTCCGACCCATCGCGACCCCATGGACAACGTTCCTCCAGGCCTTCCTGTCCTCTACCATCCTGTGGAGTCCATTTAATCTCATGCCTGGATGGAGTCATGATGGGTTGGAATGTGAAGTCAACTAACAACAACAACACTACTTCCGTGACTCCATCCCCTCTGTCGTCCCCTTCTTCTTTTGCCCTCACTCTTTCCCAGCATTAGGCTCTTCT